CCACTTGTAGACAAGCCTGATTACCTGAGTTTGATTCCCCAGGACCTACATGGTAGAAGAAGAGAACCTACTCTCAAAGTTGTCCTCTAACCTCCACCTGTGTGCACTATGGCACGTGTGCCTGCATATATATAAATAATTTTTTAATGACTAGAAACAACTGGTGACTGAGACTATATTACAGTATGCATGAGTCTGTAACATGGTTTGGATTTCATGTGATTGTCCTATCAATGGCCACCAATCTTTGAACCCTACATGCACAAATATTCTCTATACAGCACCCAGTTTTGTTAACTCTGGGATGTTGTAGTAAACCCAGATCCTTCTTCTGTCTAATACTTGTGGTCAAGTGTTTCACCCATCTGTACCTTGATGCTTTAGTTACTTTTATCACTATGCACACTGCTCCAGCTGCATAGTAGATCTCACGAAGATTTTACTGTTCATCTGTGTGTCCCGATAACAAGTATAATACCTGTAACATGGTATACATTATACCAGATGGTAGGAATACTACTAGACACAAGGCAAGCACTATTCTCAATAAATCTATAACACATACAATGATAGTAAAAAAGCAGTTCATTACCCACAGCTCAAAGAATTGCTCCTTGGGGGAGGTAGGGAACAGCCTGGAAACATCAGTAATGGCGCACATCTGTGATCCTAGCATCTGGAAGCCAGGCTAGGTTATATATCAAGTAGTTGGAGGAAACAGAACAAGCACATTCCCCACACTTAAGTTTGATCGGAGAAGCTGAGATCCCAGGGAAGACTGGACACAAGTGAGAGGGGAAGTATCTTTAGGGTCAAAAAGTTTATTCAGAGCTAGAATAGAAAAAGTAATGGTGAACAATGCTAGCAATATTGGAAGAGGTGAAATCACAGGTTGGAGTCTGGATTTGATCTTGAAAAGTGAGCAACTACTGAAAGACCTACAGGATGACATAATTTGGTTTTGTATTTTAAAGACTTCCTTTTGAAGTTTAGAAATCAAACTGACAGTACAGCCAGAAACTGCTGGGTTCAGATAAATGAAAGAATGCAGTAAGTAAAAATGATGTTTGCTGATGATTTAGGTAATTTGAAGGAGACAATAAAGACTGAGGATGGCTGCATACATAATTTTCAGATCTCCAACAGATAGTTGGAGGTGCTGTTCAAAACCTCTTTTGATTCAGAGATACAAAGCAAACAGACTGGATAAATCCTAACACCCCCCAAGAGAGGGGTCATAGGAGCACAGAGTAGAACCCTGATGGCCACTACGAATTAAGAGATGGCAGAAAACCTACCAAAGACACAGTCAGGTAAGAAGTGAGAATAGGGGTATTATCCACTTGGAACCCCTCCCACTCTTGGGAGTTCTTTCTCTGTTTTTCTTAATAAATCTATGTTCACTCTGCTTAAGAAAAAAACATGAAAATGCATAGAAAGCTCTAGAGTCAACAACAAGATGACCTCGGAAAGCGAAGCCTTGGGAATGATGGGACCAAAACAGCAAAAAGGCTGCGGGGAAACAACAGTAGACTGTGGACAAAGGAAGTAAGATAGTGTTGAGTGAGCAGGAGGGATTTGAGGGAGAAAGACGAATGTGTATGTACCATTTTAAAAGATGAGACAGTAGTACTGTTAACTGGGCCAAAATCCTATGGCTGGAAAGGTCAAGGGCCCTAGAGAACCCAGTAGTACTATTACTCTGCTAAATGGTCATGGTAATAAACTGCCCTCTAAATTCTTCTTTATACCAATAAATTGGTACATTTCTCAACCATTAAAAAAAGAAATGAACCAGATCAGGTTACAGTTAGAGGGGAAAAGGAAGCCACAGTCATGGCAGGCAGCTGAGGTGATCTTCCCTGGATGTGAACAGAGAAGCTAGAAATGGGATAGAAAAGTACTGCAGTCATTCGGAGAAAAGAAACAAACAAACAAACAAAATACTCCTAAGGCAAGGACAGCCTAAGAATCAAGGTGAAACTGCAG